CGCCGAACCTATCAGCTGTTCGGGATTCGGCTAGCAGTAGCTCGCTCTTCGGCAAACTAATGTGGGGAACCGCCTTTATTTATTATACGAGCGGGAAATGTGTCGTTAAATAATGCAGAGAATCGTGCGGGTAGGTCAATAAAATGTCAGGATTTTTCTTTTCTTTTTTAGTGCATGTGTAGCAAGTTGAATTTTGATTATGTTGGTATTCCTATGTAATTATTAATTGTGATAACCAATTGCACTACTTGTATATTTTATCTTGTATATAATTGTATATTTATAGCCTTGAAGCAGGCCAAATAAAAAGGCTGAAAAACGTCGGCACTAAATACACTTAATTTTTATTGACCTTCCTTCACGATTAAACCACACTATATTTCCAATACGAGGCAATAACAATAAATGTGTCTATTTTGCGAGAAGGATATTCAAGTATAGAAATCACTTATTTATGCATTAAGGTTAGTAGTAGTTGATGCGTCAAATTAAATAGTTTCCCTTGTTGCATTCACAAATTTTGTCTGAAAAATAGCATCATCTACTTTTATCACGGGTGCTAAGAATTGAACCCAAAGCGCGTTTCACATGCCTTGAAAGAATCACTTTTATTAGGGATTGTCTTAAAAATCATTTAAGTATTTTGTCACATCTCGTGGACCAACGTATCAAAATATTCGAGGTCTACTATTCTGAGCAACCTAATTTTAAACTAATTCTTAACCAATTCCAAACTGGTCGTTTAAATACCTATAGAATCTACGAATATAAAAGTTATTTGAAGTTATTTAAGAGATAAAGAGTAACTGTATCATAAGATTTGAAACCTTTGGAACCTCTCAAAAACCATTTCGTCTTACTAAAAATAACAGAAGTCTCGATTTTTCGTATAAAAGTAAGTATTGCATGTATTTCAGACAACTTCTATTCAAGGTACACCTTTGATACTACAGACTTCGGTTGAATACAACAAATTCACTTTAAATAAATTTAATTAAAATAAGTTTATGACGTTTACTGCACCCGCGCACGAGAATAAAGAGTCGCTATACTTCTGTTGCTTCAATACTGTCCAGAGTCTATATGAGATGTATTAGTAAATCAATTCTTTCAGTATAGTTATAAAACTAATCGTTACTTACCTTTTTCCACCAGTCTAACAGCGGCATTGCAGATGGAAACAGAGGATTCTGCAGGGAAACGTCCCTCACGCTTTCCCGCGTGAGGCAGCTGGCGTTGCCCCTCTCGCGCTACTGGCCGGGCATTCAACCGCCTTTCGTAGCTTATAAAGCGTAGAATTTCCCAGGGGTGCCAACACAATCAACAAATACTGTTATTAAATTTGTGGATACCGAAAAACCTTAAGAAGCTACATTATCCAATAATTTCAAAATTACATAAAAATATTTGAAATTCTACTTCATAATATTCTTAATTGTCTTTTGAAATTATCGGGTCAAATCTGGATAATATTGTTATTACATTTTTATCTCAATTTAATATTATTTGTAGTCATCGGTATGTTCACTGA